AAAAAAAGGGCTAGGGTTTAAACCTAGGCTCCGATACCATGATACAATTTGATAATAATTTGTCTTATTGAATATTGAGAGATATGTTCCTATATATAGGGATTACAAGAGAGAGTCCTATTCCTAGTAGGAAAGGAATAAAGTAATTATGGTAATACAAGAATAAGGAAACTAAATAATATTAGGAGTCTTCCTATTAGCGGGAACTTTTGTTTACTTCTACATTTTCATTGGTTATTCGATAGGAGTAAAATAAAATATTCTTGACACATCTTATTACGAAGAACTTTTCATATAGTTTTTTGATATGTAAACTTGATAATATACCTCGGGAATACAAATGTGGCAAATATTTAGAGACGGAGAGAGTACTGTGTTTCGATATAAATATAATACACCATCCCTTTTCAAAAATATTTCCTCTTTCATTTTTTCCACTTCCAACAAAATACTTCCACTTTCTATTAAAAAATCATTTTTACCCTTACTTTTTTATACCGTACATATCAAATCATATTTTTTTCTCTAATAACTTATCTATCAAATCAAGGACAAAATTGGAAATCAACTACAATTTAACACTTTTTTATTTTTTCACTTGGTCAAAATTGGAACTCATTTTTAGAACGGAGAGGGTATCTTATTAATTGTACTTTTGAAATAATAGTTTTTTATTAAAAATATCAAAGTATAAACATAAATGGTCAAAATAACATGTGAAATTTGAATAAATGAGCAGGGGCACACACAATTGGGAGGGCTCATTGCTTTACATTTACAAACCGTTTGTACAATTTTACGGGAAAGGGGGACGCAGATCCATCCATGCATGCAAAGTACGTCAAAACCCTAAAGAAGAGATGTCCCCCGGGGGACACCACCACCACGGTGGAGATGGATCCCGGCAGTGCCAAACACTTCGACGATGGATACTACCGCCGCCTCACCCAAAGAAGAGGGCTCCTCTCGTCGGATGCCGCTCTTGTCTCCGCCGCCGCCGCCCAGGATCACGTCGACGTGAAACAATTCATTTCGAACTCGTCCACCACCGCTTTCTTCCGCGCCTTTGGCGAATCCATGGTGCGGATGGGGAAGATTGGCGTCCTCACCGGCACTAATGGGGAGATCAGGAAGGTCTGTTCCCGCGTTAATTAATGAGAAATTTACCTAAGTATATAGGACTAAAACATAATGACTTTTCCAATATAAGATCGTATGTTTTTATTTCTCAAAGTAGGACTTTTGGTCTTTATCAATTACTCATTATTCAAATAATGTCCATCATTATTGGACATTATTCCTCCCACTAGACATTATTAAGTCCTATTTAGATAATAGAAAAGTTTAAGACCAATATTCGGAAATGACTTATGTTTTAGTCATATTTAGTATAAATTTCATTTAATTAATTCATATTCCCTCCAAAAAGATGCAATATCTAAAACCCTAAATACTTATTACATGTGCTTTTGTGAGACGTGCCCTATCCCCAAATAATGAGTTGGTTCTTTTTTTGAATACTAATAATTTTATTGCATGTATTTGTTCATACATTTTTAATCTATTCCTCGTGTGTCCTTTTTGTTCTTGGCTTAGTGATAATTCATGGGGTTATTAATTGTAATTTTTGTTCGCATTGGTTTGAAACTTTGAATTGAATATGAGCAGTTGATGAGTGAGGACTAATATTCTCTTGGTGGATTTAACTACACGACTAAACCTGGCAAAACGGTCGGTCAGGTCGGGTTCGGGTTCGGTCACATCGGGTTCGGGTCACTTCGGGTTCGGGTCACTTCGGGTTCGGGTCTAAGGATGCTTGTTCATGACCCAGAGCTATCGGGTTCGGGTTGACCCAACGGGTTAAGAGGCGTATTTAAAAATTGTAAATTTTGCATTCAGAGATGAAGTGATCAATGCATTTTTTCAAAACATAGAAAAAAAAATCATTCAAAATAACAACAAAAAAGTAAACATAGCAAAAAATTTTAAACATCATCATGTCCCAAATGAACCATTCAAGCACACTAATCAAAATACCAAATAATTTAGAGTTCAAACAAAATGATTAGAAGTTCATTCTCAAGTGAAGTCATTCCCCATATCAATTTGATGCTTATCACGAGTAGCTTATCATGATGAATAAACTGTATTAAACACATCAAAAGTTGGGGAAGAATCAAAGCAAACCAAGAGAGCAAAAGCCTTATCTTGAGTTCTAGACATATGCAAAATTGCACATTATTTTATTTTTTTTAAAAATCTATTTTGACTATTAGCATTTAGCAGACAAACAAATTTGAGTACATATGGCTAATGAGGAATGGGCCAAATGGCTTTTATGCTACTCCAGGAGAAAAATAATATCACNATGTGGCTGTCAAAAACAAAGGAAAGAAAACAAAAAAAATTGAACCTCAACTAGACAATCAGATCGGGTTTGCTAGAAGGTTTGGAGTTCGCCGTCGTTTTGGCCGCATCGTACCAGGAGCGTCCTCAATTGTCGTCCCCGCCGGCGATTCCGCCCCTGCTTCGATTCCGGCGCGCGAGACGGCACAAAATTGCCGGAAGATGGCAACGATCAGCGGAGAAAAGTCGAGATGGAGAGTCGGCCGATGGAGAGAGGGTGCAATTAGGTTTAACGGGTTTGAGTACGGTATTATTTGTCTATTTGATATTTGAGTAATAAATAAAAATATAAAATCTTAGTTCCTAAGTTTAGAGTGCTTAACCCGTCGGGTCAGACCCGACCCGACCCGACCCAAAATTTTAACGGGTCTTCGGGTTCGGGTCACAAAAATCATGTTCAAAACCCGCTAATTTCGGGTCGGGTTTCGGGTAAAAAACGGGTCGGGTCATATTTTGCCAGGTCTATACACGACCAAAGAAGACATACTTAAATGCTAAGTTTCCCCATTTACTTTGGGATATAAGTGAGATGTGATTAGTAATTTATTAGTGAATAAGTATGATGTGATAAGTAGAGAAAGAATTAGTATTGGCAAAAGAAGCTTTTAATAGAATTAGTATTGGAAAAAATAATTTTGGGACAGAGAAAAAAAGAGAAAGACTTTTAAGAACAAAGTAGGTATTATACTCCATCTGTCCATTAAAGTACGGGAGAAGGACCAAACTAGGAGTAAAACTTATGTCATAATTTCAAAATAAGAGCTCAAACTTAAACTCTTCTAAATGGGAGTAATTAATTAATTTTTGTTTTCAATTAGTAATATCTCTCTTTTCACGCTCTCTTCTCCCTTTTTGGTTTTTTTTCTTTTCTTGCATGCGTTAAGGGGAGGCTGGGCATTGGCATTGAGTTATGGCCTTATGGGTAGGAATTAGAATAGATTAGGAAATTAATTATTTATTATTATTATATTATAAAATTTTAATATTTATTTATTGAACTGTAATATTTATTTCGTTCATAACTTTTTACACCAAAGTCTAAACTTAACAAACTATATGTTGTTAGTCACCTATGTACGAGATCAATCTAATTACCTATTTTTTAAATTAAAAGGTTGACTTTACAAATAGTTTATATTTTCAAGTCGGAAAATAAAATAAGACATTATTTTTATTTTTTATCAAAATAACAACTAACTACTAAGACGGCTAAATTTTTTACCCAAAGTTAAAATATTGTCAATAAACGATTCTTTTAACTATATCGTCAGGGAACGATAACAAAATCACACCCAAAGCTCAGTACCACAAACAAATATGACTTTTTCTACCTTGAACCTGTATATTTATATGTGTATCCTAATTTACAACTCAAATATTCTGATTTCACATTCTTAGGAAGAGAAAAGAAACTTGACAAACATCACCTTTAAGTGTTGCCTTAGGTTAATAGAGTGTCAAACATCACCTTGTAGATATATGTCAAAATTCTTAAGCAATAAATAGAAACTCAGTAAATTGCTACAGTGAAATGTATATACAGTGTCAAACAAGACCACATTTAACGCCACACGTAACCGCATAATGACAATCATGCCATTGTATAAAGTCATACATGCAAATGCATAATGTTAAACCAAGAGATAATGTCAAATATGATAATATATAGTGTCACACTTGGCAATGTATAATGACAGATATGCCAAAGTATAATCTTACATATAACACATATGTTAATGCATAATCTAAAAAAAGTTAAACTTCAAGAAACTCTATTTGCCAATACAATAATCATTTAGTTTCAATATATGTTTTACAAAATAATTTTCTAAAAAGTAAACCCGGATTTAAAATCAAATGTCACAACCTATTGAAATTGAATCTAAAGTTTCAAACTCACGCAAGGCTAAAAGAATTAGTACCAATTTTACAAAATAATTCCCGAAGAAGTAAATTTTTAGATTTAAAATTGAATTTAACTACTTATGTCAAATTAAATATCAAATTGAATTCAACTTACCCAAGGGGACGAAGGCATCCGAGCAATGAAAAATGAAAATTGTGAAGAGGGGTGTGTATGGGAGAAAGGGAGATGATGGAGAGTGCGGTGGAATCATTGCCGCATAGAGAAGATGGTAGCAGCGGAGAGGAGATTGAGATTAGGTTGACCGCGTTAGCAACTGAGATTAGAACGAAGAGGGAGATTGTAGAAGGATGGGATTGGGAAGGGGCCGGGTGTGGTTTGTGCGGGAGAGTAAATGAAAACAAAATTTAATTAATTACTCATATTTAGAAGAGTTTAAGTTTGAACTCTCATTTTGAGGATATGATATATGTTTTACTCCTATTTAAGGGTTTTTCTTTTAAAGTACCCTGTTCGAACGATAGATGTGCAAAATCTTTTGAACTTTACAAAGATTTTATTTTCAAATTGATATAGAAATAAAAAACAAATTATACATACATATATCTAAAAACTAAATCAAAGTTAAAATTCTACGGAGTACAAAACAAAAAATGACAAAAATATTTTATTTTATTAAATGATCAATGAAAACATGCAAATAAAGTGTGTGTAGGACTAAATTTTGGGCCAAGACATCATCTGGATTAACTACTGTTATCACATATTTAACTAATAATAATTGAAATAATAATATTTCTGTCCAAATATTTCATTAACTTATCCTCGTTAAGGTACCATTAATGTATTCTAAAAATTTAGGCATAACTAATTTGATATCCTCATAGACAAGGTAAAAACTAATTTCCAATCATTAATTAACTTTTCTCTCAACATAGTTAATTAATTTAACAATAATATTAATTCTATAATAATTATTCTAAAGATTAACTAAACACACAAAGTATATACCCAAATTTAACCCAACCCGGACCTTAATCTGGATTCCAACTCATACTAAATATTAACAATCTATGAAAAAGAGAATGTTTACTAAAGTTGCAAGTGTAAAAACTTACAACAAAGAGCAGAGTTGGAGTCACTTTGAGACAATCGGAACAAAACTATACTAAAGTAATAAAATATAGATCAGGCAGAGAAGAGTGTCCCGGCTCTCTTTTTATAGACTGGAATTTTGGACCAGGCATCTGGCCGGCTGGGGCCTGGGCCACAATTTATGATTTGCATCCGCCACTCCAGGTAGGTGCGTGAAGGCTGAGGCCCGCACCTGACTGCCGCCCAAGCCTAAAATCGGCCCATTTCTTTTATTTCAGTATTTTTCTTCAATTATTTTTGCTTCATGACCCAAATCAATCTTTTTTCAACTTGTGAACTTCAATTTAAAACTTTTTTTCTTCTGATTTGACCTCAAATATTTCAACATGGTGCACCATCATATTTCATTACGCACTTTTTACTCCTTCAATTTCCGTCATGTTTTCTCTTCGCTCTCCGTCCTAAGCTTGCAATTGTTAATTTTTTTAGCACTTTAGTACTGCTTTGACCTAATTTTTATTCTTTTCAAAATGAGACGTGACTCTTGTGTACTTTTGCAATTGTATGAATAAAAATATATAAAAACAAATGAAAACTTGTCTTGATTGATTTAAATTTGGACATTAACACATTAACTATGAGGAAGATAAGTATGTAAAAAATGGACTTATTAAATTCCACACACTTAAGTGTTGCTTTCCCTCAAGCAATAGAGAATAAAAACAATTGAAATTTTGGTTCAATCAATTATTTACCAAAAATTTGAAGAAAAAAAAAATCACCACACTTTTAAACAAGTTGTTGCACAATTTTTTTTAAAATTATTTAGGGGCTGTTTGGCAACTTCTGAATAGGTAAGTGCTGAAACAGTAAGAGGTCTGAACCATTAAGTGTTGAACAAGTAAGAGGTCTGAACCATTAAGAGCTAGTATATTACTACTTAACTATTCAGAGGCAAATATCAAATCAATTCAGATAAGAGGTCTTAACCATTCAGACTCTGTATAATACTTAACCATTCAGAGGTAAATGTCTGAACCATTCAGACATCTGAACCATTAAGAAGCTGAAACATGAACCATTAAGTGCTGAACCATTCAGACATCTGAACCATTAAGAGGCTGAAACAAACAGCCCCTTAATCTTT